ACTTCGACTTCAGCTACGCTATTCGCGTAGCTGAAGTTGCGTATCTTGGATCGATTTCCCCCCCCCCCCCCCAGTGTAGACCAGCCCATAGAATATATGCAGTATGGTACTAGGCAGAAACTCAGTGACTGCAGATAATGGACTATCTGTGCACACACAAAAAAGAAGAAGAAATAATAATTCTCTTTTGCTTTTCAACTGATGTATTAGATCAACACTGGTCAAGCAGATGGGACCCCTGGACTTGATCTAAATGTGGCTGAAGCCTGGGAGCTGGGATATACTGGGAAAGGTGTTACCATAGGAATTATGGATGATGGTAAGTGAGGATTCCAATCCACCCAACTAAATTGGTCTTCAGCATTGGCTCTCCACTTGTAAGGTAACTCTCTTCTCTCCGTGCATGTGAAGAAGTGGGTTTTTTACCCATGAAAGCTTATGCCCAAATAAATCTGTTAGTCTTTAAGGTGCCACCAGATTCCTCATTGTTTTTGAAGACATGTAAGACAGTTTTAGAGGTTTAAATAGCTTACTTAATATAATCTTATGCAAAAACCTTTTTAAAAAATTTGAAATAAAGTATAACCTAGATTAATGATAATGCCAGTGCTGTTCTCCAGATTCTGTAAAGACTATGAGATTGGCAGGGGAAAGGCACCATAAGCATATGTGTTATAATTGGGCCATTGAAATGTGAACATCCAAACCTTATACAACTTTATAAATCACACACACAGCTCTTTTGTGGCCATTAGCTGAACGTGAGGACTCACATTGACTTCAGTGGGCTTTCAATGGGGATTTCAATTGCCTTGCACGCAGTAGATATAAGAGCATTTTCCCTTGTTAAAATATTGACAGTGCACAGCAGAACCAAAATAATTAATACTTTCTCACTGGATGTCCATAATGATCTGCATATTATATACATTAATAGTTTAGGGTAAAATGGGAGTGGGAGAGAAGATACAGCATGTTGAAAACACAGCTGTACTTTGCATGGATTCATCAGACTGTCAAAATACAAGAAAGACAAGGTAAGTATGGCAACATCTTTTATTGAATCAACTTCTGCTGGTGGAAGGTACAAGCTTTCAAGCTAGAGAGCTCTTCTTCTTCTCTCATGACCTGGGCCAACAAACACAGCTTCAACAACACTGCAAACAAAATACAGGGAGTCTCTTCAATTTTCTCAGCACTTTTGAGCTAGTTAAATTTTGCCATGGTGACTGAACAATACTAAAAATAAGTGAAAGGCAAAAATCTGTCTGGGGATGGGGCAAAAATCTGTCTGGGATTGGTCCTGCTTTGAGCAGGGGGTTGGACTAGATGACCACCTGAGGTCCCTTCCAACCCTGGCATTCTATGATTCTATGAAACCAGCAGTATCTTCAGTGATCCACTGGGATCCGTCCCTGTTCTATTCTGGCACCCCCCCCTTGTTCCATACTCAAGTGAGACAGCTGGGTAAATAGTGAGGGAGACTGGCCTGTGGTTACATCAGTATGTGGCTGTCTCACAGCTCTCTTCCTTGTTTTCATTGGTCCCATTGATCAAGGACTGTATTTTTAGAGACTGGGCACAATTGCAACCTGGGTGACAGTGAGCTGGTTGAAGCTCAGTCTAAATTAGGCAGCTGAGGCAATGCTGGTTAGCTGTAGGATACATTTAGAGAGTGGAGCACGGAAGGAGTTTTCCCCCCTGTGACTATTCTAGCAAACCACTTACTTGCAGGAACGTTCACCAACCCAGCACATTTTAAGCAAATGTTTGCAGAAAGCCAATTCTGAATTTGTAAATGTGAATATTTACACTTCTAAGAGTTATGATCATCCAGTCAAAGAACTGAAACACTGTGTGTGACCTGTGAAGGCCAGCCAACACAGCTCAAATTACCAAGAGCCCTTGCTCCCTTGTCATTTACATCAAATTTGCTGAATTGTTTTGGTGGGATGGGTGGGTGGAATGTGAAACAAAAAGTCACATTTTGCTTTGACATTTTTTCAGTGTCATTTAGATTTTTTTATATGAGTTGTCATTTTGATATTTTTTAAGCTGTTTTGGGTGTAAACAAATTTTTTCAATCTCTTTGGTTCAGCCATTGAACCAAGAAATCAATTATTTTCACAGATCTAGATTAAATCCATGGACAATATTGTTTTGTTTTGCAGAATTTATGCATTATGCGTTTCTCTTTGTTTCTGGACAGAATCACAGAGAAATCATAAATTTTTCATTGTTTTTGTGCAAAACTATAAATAGACCCAGTTTGCTCAGAGTGAATCTTTGGGGGATTTTCTAATTTGTAACCAAATTCAGAAGCAGATAACTGAATGTCACATGTCTTAAATGTCACACACATCTAGTTTTAAGCTCAGTAAGCATGAAATACCTTAGTAAGCTGAATGCTCAGTCTGTAATGATATTCAGAAGTTTGCAAACCAATCTGATCCACCATTAAGAATTCTCTGACACTATTTGCGGAAACAGACCTGTTTGCCCCAGTGATCTCTCCATTTTAATTTAGGTAATATTCTGCCTACTTAATTTTCCTGTGCAGTTTCCAATGGCTTTCCTCTCCTACACTTGTGTATTAAAACTGTATGCTATTAGGGCCTGAATCCAAAGCCCACTGAAGTCAATAGGTTTTTAATCAAGCCTTTAAAAATTTGCTGTTTTCTTAACCAGAGGTGGCTGCATCTTAGTGGTGGGTGAAGTAATCTGTGTGTCAATATATTCAATAATAGAATATATATATATATATATATGTTTGTAAAGTATTTTGGGATCCTTTCATTTGCAAGGTACTATATAAATGTAAAATATTACTAGAACTACCATTACTAACCATATATGATCCAATGTAGACACTTGTCGCATACATTTGTTGGCTCATTTCACACTTTTGGGTGCAAATTGGCACTTAGGTACTGACTTACTGGATTAAAGCTCCCAACTAAGCTCACAGCAGAACTGGTACCCTAATTTAAAAGTCCACATATGAACAGTATCAGTCCAAACAAGCTTTGAGACCAGCATTATTCCTTATTATGGTTTTTCCTATAGTAGCAATCGACTCTTATTGTGCTTTATGGTTATTATAAAGTGTTTGTTGTAGGGGTTTTGGTTTGGTCTGTTATGGTTTTGGGGTTTGTTTTTTTTTTGGAATGTTAACCTTTGGTTTGTGTGCTTCTTTGTCTTATTGCAGGAATTGATTATCTTCATCCTGATCTTGCCTCAAATTATGTAAGTACACACTGACCTTTCCTGCAAAACGTGAGGCTCTTTATTGTTTTGGTCTGTCTTTCATACAAAATGTTTACACACTGAATGGCGGAAATGCACAGCTGAGCTACTGATCTTGCAGCTGATACATTTTACATAGAAAACAAGTGATCTAAAAATGGGACCTGGCAACTTGCCAGACATGAGCTTCCTGGGTAAGGAATGAAACTGTGAGAAGGAATGATGGTGTTGCCTACCTTTAAATACGCTGCAGTTTGCAATATTGGATTTAGGACAGAAATGAGTAACCTGGGAATTGGCTCTAAATCTTGCTGTTAAAATGCAGAATTCACCTATTCGGGGGAGAACAACAGATGCTACTGCCGTGGGCTGTGGCTGCGCTGCTGTTTGTTCACAATGGCTATAGTGTGTATGAGAGTTTGAAAACTACGGTAACCATATACTTCATTTACAACATGTGATTAAATTCAACATTTCAGAGCATTCCCAGATCCTGCACATGAACTGTGTGTCTGTAGCGCAGTCAGACACTGTGTACAGTGTAAAATGATGGTTTCTTCAAACTCACCTCTGATTTACCTCCATTATCATGGGCTCTTATCTCTTCATATTCTAGACTCCGTTCTCATTGTCCTGTCATCTTTGATATTACTGCTGTCTGTCTACCTGCTTCTGCCGGTGCCCTCAGTTGCCACTCTCTATGTGTTATGCTTTTTTTTTTACACTGAAACTGATTGCTATGGTTAGGCCATTTGTTGTGCAATGGGGCTCAAAGAAGTGTAACACTGATGGGGCTTTTGCAGCGCTTAGGTAGCCAGTATTGCCTCTTTCTTGAAACCACACGCACAATGGGTGTGGCTCTCATTGCATAGCAAGGTGAGAGGGTGTGCCACTTTCCACTTTCTGGAACATTTTTTGAAACATCTTTTTGCCATGCATACTTTCCCCCCCTCCATTCCACATAAGGGATTGATTCCATGGTCTTTGTTATAGGGCTATGTAACAAGAGGGTTGGGGGGTGAGGGTTTGGAGAGCCAGTTGGCCTAGTGGCTAGAGTACCTGGCTTCCTGCCCCTGCTTCTGTGGTTGAGGTGCCTCAGTCTTTAAGGCAGGGGAATAGGGGGACCTGGGCCCTCCCACTCCATCAGGTCATAGCCCAGGGCCCTGTGTGTCACCCCTGAGTAGGGGACTTCCCAGCAGGGAGTATACGTTCATTGCCCTGGGCTACTTCCTACTGTTGCCCCATTAGTTTGAGGCATGGCCCCTATAGTCCAAGCTCATGTGGTGGCTTGTCTCTTAGTAGTGCCTCCTTATGGACCCTGGGTGACATCCTGATGTGGTCCCAGATTCCTCGGGGCAGGGCAGCTGTAAGTTTGGTGGGATCAGAACCCCCACAAGATCTCCATGCTTTAGTCAGCCAGGTTCCTCTCAGGCCAGGTGCTCCTAGGTCTCATTCTCCATCTCCTTTGGCCAGGAAAACACTACTTGGGTCCGTGGTGGCTGTCTTGGCCAGCAGGCTAGTGATCCTTCCCTCAGGTAGCTCCTGCGTCTTCGCCTGTCAGCCCCGAACTGAGCCAGGGTCCCTCCTTTTCTCTCCCCTCCAAGCCTGGCGTTGGCTGCAGATATAATGGGGTGGAGCTTGTTGGAATCAAAGGCTCTCCTTAACCCCTTCCATGCTGGTGGGTGGTTCCTCTGCGCTTCAGCACAGGCTATTATAATTATGCCAATTTTTGTGTACGGAAGATGTGAGAGAGCTCAGTATCACAGTTTTCTTTCGATACGAAAGGTGAAATTCACCATTGTGCACAGGTCTGGCACAAGGCTCATGCATTGCTTAAGTCTCATTTAAACTATGTTTTGTAAGTTTAAACAGGACTTAGGTGGTGCATAGACCTTGTTCAAGCTCTCTACACTGGGGTGTGATTCACAAGAAAGAAATATACAAAAACATGCAATGTACTATGCCTATCACATGGTCCTGGGTAATCTTTAGCTATACAATAGGCTCATTGATGTCATCTCTGTTTCATATTAATGAGTTGCTGTGAAAGATAAGCACAGCTTATAATCTTATCATGTCTATATCTGTGGTCAGCCGCAGAGCGAATGTGGAGAAAGGTAATTCAGTTTCACAGAGGATTTTGGTATTTCAGAATCTAGTTTCATTCTGATTTGGGACAAAACCCAAAGATTTCAGTCCCTTGTGAAAGGGAGTGGAGCCCTGACTCAGGCCTGGAGGGCTGAAGAGCATCTGGGAGCCTAAAAGCCTCAGCTAAGCTGGAGGCCAGATGGGCTGCTGAGAAGCCAGATTGGCGAGCGGACAGGTAGGATTCCATCAGACCCCAGCCTGTGTTCTGTTAGAACTTTGATAAAATTGAACCATCTTTGTGCGATGTTTAGATTTGGATGAATTGGCAGTCTCCGATGTAAAATCGACCAAGTCTAATCAACTGTTCTAAATCACCCAACGTATAGCTCTGCTGAACAAGCTCTGCTGAAAAGTTGACAAAACACTTGTCCCTGGCATTTTCTCCATCCATTAGACAGGACAATTACTGCCATTCTTTTCAATTAACTTATTGCTACTACAGTGAGTTTTCTTGTTGTTTAATATTGTAAGGTGTGGTTACAAATTTTACTGAAAGCAGAATTGCAAACAGTTTTGATTTCCAAGTGTGATTAAAAACGAACAAGAAAAGCTAGAATTGATGGTTAAAGAGAGATTACACACATACACTGGCACAAAAACGATAGGGGAGATGATGATACATTTATTCTTACATAGGATTCTTTTCAGCCAGCTATTTTTAAAACAGTTTCAAAATCCTCCAGTGCAATTTAAGAGACTAACAAGCACACACAAAGGGTGAAATTCTGGCTCCATTGAAATCAATAGCAAAGTTCCCACTGACTTCAACGGAGCCAGGATTTCACCTGGACTGTGTAGAAGAGGGAGGCGTCCAGGAATGGCAATGCACTTGGAAAATAGCTAATCAAAGAATGTAAAGTGCAGGGTGGTCGGTTTCATACCTTATTAATCTACTTAATGATTTGATTGCAGTTATTAAATCCTGTGTTTTAATTACAATATGCTTATCCCAAATGAGTGACTAAGCCAGAAGTTTATTTAAATTGAAACAAATAAAGCACTCTACACAAAGATGACCTTTACATGTGTGTTTTTTACATCTAGATCCAAGTGAATAGCATATGTTATTACTACTATTAACGTATCATTTATCCAGCAGTAATAGTGTGGACAAAACATGAAAGACGATTCTGTCTCTAAAAAGTTTATGCTTTGAATAGAGACACAAGGTGGGTGAAGTAGTATCGTTTATTGGACCAACTTCTGTTGGCGCAAGAGGTAAGCTTTTGAGCTTACACAGAGCTCTTCTTCAGGTCTGGGAAACATAGGCAGAGTGTCACAGCTAAATACAAGGTGGAACAGATTGTTTAGCATAAGCAGTTAGCACATATTTCAAGGGACCTTCCACCTTGAACTGGGAAATGAATATTGGCAGGCTTTGCAGCAGTGTGTTTTAAGACTATATTTGAAATGCAGAGAGGATTCTCGATGCATCTGGTAAAGGAGGGAGTCCCAGGAGTCAGGAGAAACATGGAAGCAGGCGCAAGCATAAGAATGTGAGAAGGGACCAAGTGGAAGTGTTAAAAAGGGAGCGTGGGCAGAAGAAAGGAAGCATGGGGGAGCAGGGGAGAGGTGAGAGCTAGGAAAAATGGAACCAGAATGGTAGGCAACAGCAGAGCCGTGCATAGCCTTCAAACTGGCTGCCCTTGATGTGGAATGTCAGCAGCAGCCATTAAGGTCAGCAGGAGAGTGACATTGTCCAGGGAGAGGGTGAGGAAGATGATTTTGGCAGTGACCTCTTCAGTGGACTGCAGGGAACGAGCTGGGAAGCCAGAGAGAGAGAGAATAGTTCAGTGAAAGATAAGGGATTTGTTTATAGGGATGGAGGGGAAAGGGTGGAATTTAGAAATGTTGTAGAGGAAAAGCAACAGTACTGAGTGACAGGCTCAATAGGGGGAAGGAAGGGGGGAGATGAAAGTGCCGTTGACATGAGTAACAGAGAGAAAAGGACTTTCCAGCAGTGATGGAGAAGGGATCAAGAGGGGAGCAGAGGGCAGGAAAGACAAACACACAAGAAAAACACCACAAAAGCTTATGCTCAAATAAATTTGTTAGTCTCTAAGGTGCCACAAGTACTCCTGTTCTTTTTGCGGATACAGACTAACACGGCTGCTACTCTGAAACAAGAAAGATCGTGGTCCCTGTCTGACAAGGTCACCCTCTAAAACACCAACACAAATTTGATCCATTTAATACAAGAGCCTAAAAACATGAGGAATAAATTGAAATAAGCCATTGTGTTTCAAAGATATCACAGAGCTTCCACAGAAAATGATATCCATATAATCAAGGCTAGGACAATCTATATAGCTGGTCCATGTGTCCTAGATTCAGTATGAATTAGCTGGAGATAAAGGACATGGCACAGTAATATCCCAATCCACACTAATAATCATATTTAAGCCAATGAACAAAAAGCCATTTGAAAATGTCATCATCTGGCGCAAACACATTACTTATGCAGTGACAGACCCAGACTAGTGGGGTACAGGAGTCTGGTAGAGGGCAAATATACTGGTCACTGGATGAGTAGTTTTCTGTTCCCTGAGTGACCAGAGCAGGGGCTGCACTAGAGTAATCAGGAACCCGAATACTGACCCAAAGCCAGAGGGTCGCTCTTGTAGGTAGGCGGACCCGCGCAGCTGAAAAGGAGGCCATGCAGGAGGGAGAAGCACCTGAGTCTGACCCCCACCCTAATGCTTCTGAACCAGTAGAGGCAACAGAGACTGGGCCCCTAGATCTTGGGCAGATTAGCCCCAGGAGAGGAAATTTTGGACGGGACCAGGCAGAAGACCCAAGGTATGACAACATTAGGAAGAGGTGACTGAAATAGA